TATATGAATTTGTTGACAAAGTGATAATGAATCATAATATGATATTATATACGGGGTGTTCCATTTGAAAAATCAAAGAAGCCGCTACTTTATAGTAGAAGCGACAACGCCGCTTCGTCTAAAATATTTTAGGCGTGTAGGTCATATTGACTTATGCATACTGTGGAATTTTCAGGTTGATCCGTTGAATAGTTTGCCAGAAACGGCTAATTAACGCTCATCATGAAAAGCCCTGTATATTATAAAACATGCAATCTTTGGAAGTCCTCAGAACCATCTCGGATTATGATAACCCATGTTCAATGTTTCCACTCAATATTCAAAGCTAACTGATTTCGACGGATTTAACTTCAAGAGAAGCAAATGTCCGTAATATGGTATGTTAATATTATACTATATTATGTTTAAAAAAATATGTTTTCCGTTAAGCAGCTGTCGCACCCCTACGAACGACAACCCTCAGAAGTTGAAACTTGTTCAAGCTAAGGACTAACAAAATCTTACCTTTTAATGTGTGATTCCTAAACCATGTTCGCATCACGGTGCACGTTGACAAATCTTGACGAAAATATTCAATGCTGCTCATTTTTCCAATCAAGCGGTGTGAAAAACGAACCAACGAATACTAACGAACAATCAAGGCATAATGCGGAGGAACACCGTGCTGTTGAAACATAAAAGGACCTTCAGAATAATGTTCATTCACTTAAATAATTCATTTGTTTTTCTATTATGGAAAAAAGTTTAAGCAAAGCAACAACAATCAAAATAACTGATTTAAATAGAACACAAACATATGAGTACTGAAATACAGTATACATATACAAATATGTATACAAATACATCAAAATGTATACATCAGTATACAAATACATCAAAATTAAGTAATACGTCGTTGTTCAGCGTTTGAAGTTCCCTCTGCAACGTCTTTCTCATTTTGGACGAGACAGTTTCAAAATAAACTACTTGATATTTTTTCTGATCCAGTCGATGAAGCTCGTAACCCTTGTGTAAACTCCAGGATAACCAGATTCTGCGCACCTAAACCCATAGGATACCACTCCAATTTGGTAGTAACGTAAACTATTTCCCTCACTGACAGCGTACATAAGGGGACCTCCAGAGTCACCCTGGCAGGTGTCTTTAGTGGTATTGTCAACGTAACCTGCGCAGATGATTTTGTCATCAATGACCCCAATAGTCCCAAAAGATCTGACACAATGATTCCGATTCACTACAGGAACCTCAATGAATTGCAAAATTGAGCTCCTGGGTCCATCTGCAAAGAAAATGAAAATTTTAACCACAAATTAAAAAAAAAATACATTTTGTCACTGGTCTTCGCAACTGTCTCAATCTCCTTATTCCTAAGCGTGGACTGAGAGTGAGCAGAATGAGACATTCATGAAGACCAGTAACGAGACCTGGGGAGTCGGCAAAACCGTAAAGGTGCGTCACTACCTGAAGGTTATGCAGATTGAAACATCAACATAGCCGTACTATCCAATTCTTGATAATGAATTCAATGACGAAGCCGAAATTGCGAACAAGGAAAAACTCAAGACGCGGTTCTACCCGGACACACACACAAAGGAAGGTAAATCGCAGAGACATGTTTCTGGCTATTGGCCCTATCACGCAGTGCGGTCAAGTGCCCAAATGGGGTACACCTTGTTACCGAAAACAGGAAACATTACATATGCTCGGAGTCACCAACTTAATCCGACTGCACACTCCTGATTTCAGTTAAAACACATAGTATCCTTCAACATGTCCACCTAGGCAGCAATAGCTTCCTTTGTAACTTCAACAAATGTGCGATTGGTTCCGTTTGGTGATTCCGTGCAGATGTGTTATTTCCCATTTTCGGTTACCAGATGTTGCCCATCTTTGCAATTGGTTGCACTTCGCGGTTAGGTCAATAGCCAGAAACACGCGTCCACGGTTCCTCTTCCTTTTATATCAGCGACCTCTCCTCCTTTTGATTTAGATCAAACACACAGGTGAACATCTTTGAGTATTCATATTCCAGACACGGTCTATTTTTTCGAAAATCAAAGTTTTGTCACCATACCGGCTGGCATTCTCAAGATGTGTTAATTCTTCACATGAACGTTGATTAACAGCTTTCTCCAAGACTGTCGATATTACTGACAGTAAAGCAACTGGTCACTAAGGTTATTTGAAGAATGTTTCTTGCCCTTATTGGTTGAGAAATGAGACGCTATCATAAAGTAATAGTTGGCATTGTGGATTATTCAGTGGTGTGAGTGGTTTTTTCCAGGAAAAAAACGTGGAGCGGGATGCAAATTGCTTGTCAAGCAAATTTTCTTTTTCCGGCTGTGCTAAAAGTGGAATTGTGGACTTGGTGAAAATTTCACCAATGCCTTCAACCATTGGCCATGAGAATCTAGAACCATGTTATACTTTTCATCTAGCAATATGAATTTAATCAATTTCAGGGGGATGGGTATCTATGTGTTGTGCCGGGTCAATACTACAAAATGGTATTGAAACCTTTTATTATCACATCACCAAACAACGAAATGAATAACATATGGAATTTCCATTTATAATATCTGTGAGAAAATTGAATAGTTTGACGGTATTCTGTATTTGCCGCTATATTTCTTTCCGTTATAATGGTGTTCTGGTGGAAATTTACTAAACTCTCAACGCTTAATTCATTCGTATTCGTTCAGAACTTATTGAAATTACTAATGCCACTTTTAACTTACCAAAGTATAGAGCTCCCCATCCAGCCACTATCGGAAAAGTTCCTATGAAAGAATTGGACTTCAAAGGCTCTTCATGGGGTAAGCATATCGGCCATACTCTCGCTGGTGGGCAAGAAAATATTAAATCAGTAATTACATTAGAATAACGATCATAAGTTTAGTTAATGAAAAGATTGAAAACGTCGACCTCAAAATCACTACACTATAAAACAAAATCCCCTGCCGCGTTAGTCTGTCTGACGCGATAAACTCGAATACTACTGAAGGGAGCGATTCAAGAGGAAGCTTTCTATGTATGATTCATAATTCCATTGTGTTGATTGGTTGAAATTGACGATATCATCTGTACGAAGTCGGGGCGGCGGTGCTAAATAATTCACTACATATTTTTTTTATTAAAGGGCTGAGATGGTATATGTCTATCTTTTAAGGATAGTTCAGTATACCAATTTTTTTTTTTAAGTAATGGCCACATATACTGTGTAAGTAAGTAAGTGATTTTATTAATTTTATGTCATTCAATCATTCAGTTATATGATTTGATTTTCCTGCGATTTATAATTCAAATTGTCATTAATAATCCTATCATAGAACCATGTATTAGACAATCTGTAGCAATCTAAGCAAGGCTTGTGGCTGTTACAGACTGATATTGGTTGTGTTATATAATATATAATAAACTAAATACATAAAAGCTAAAATAGGTCGTTTGGTTATAAATTTCTGTCTACCTTACTAGATTTAAAACCGCAGTTGGAGAATAATGGCTAAAGGGAGGTAATAAGAAGAGAGAGAGAGCAGGTAATTTAGCTCAAAACATTTTCAAAGATATCCTGCAATTGATCATAATGATTTCTGATGAAAACTTTCAGTTCCTTCTTTAATTTACAGTAATTATTAATATTCTTTATATGGAGTGGCAGCTTATTGTATAATTTCGGCCAAAATAAGTTACCAGTTTCTGGTTATGACTCAATCTACAGCGTGGTATTGTAATTGATTGGTTGTAGGTCATTCGCGTATTATATTTATGTGTAATGATGTTATTGGGATTACTACAAATCTATAATAAACATTGATAAGCGTATAATTTTCTGACTTTGAACAAACCACTTTGTTCGTAGAGTAGAATATCTCCTATCATTCTTCAAGGAGATTTCGATCAGTGTGTTTTGTATTACGTCAAGATTATGTAGTGATGTTTTGAATAAGCCACCCCATACTTAGATGCACTATCTAATCATCGACTCCACCAAGGCACCGAACACCGTCAGTATGACCTCTCTACTTAAGATACTTCTTAGTTGGTAAAATTTCCGAATTAGTTTGCGGAGTTTTTTTTTACTATGTCATCTATGTGATCAGTCCAGTGTAGAAATTGGTCGATCATGACGCCTAAATAAGTATCTGATAGTATTTGTTTTACATATTCGGGAACATCCACATTTTTGGTTTTCTGTACACGTGTATTTGTGAATCGTAATGAATTTTTCGTCATGTTGGTCTTTCATTGTTGAAGAGAAAGTTATAAATTTAGTTTTATCTATGTTGAGACCCAACAGATTATTACTTAGCCAGTTATATATCGTTTTCATTCCTTTGTTTGCGTTTTCGTATGTTTCATTCTAAGTTCGTCCCAGAAATACTACAGCAGTATCATCGGCGTAGGACAATAGTTTTCCTTGAAATTGCTGATATTAAAAATATTGTTTACAAAGAGCAAAAATAAAATAGGGCCTATTACTGTTCCCTGAGGTACGCCCATGCTGACGGGTAGCGAATTACTATATGAATCAATAATTTTTACATGAATTCTGTTAGATAAGTAATCTTTGAAAATTTCGAGAGGCATTCCTCTAACTCCAATGTCCTGTAACCGCTGAAAGAGGATAACATGATTGACGGTGTCGAATGCCTTGACTAAGTCTAAAAATACAGTGGTGCATTTTTCCTGATCCTGAAAACTGGATACGGGAATCACAGAATCACTTGTGGTTCTGTTATTCCCTAACTGAATGGCATCCCAACGATGGCCTTATCCTAAGGTGTGTGTATCCTAGCCTATCAGCTGTCTCTACGGAACCTTCGAGATACCGGGCATCCTCTCGTCGTAGCATCGCCTCCCTGTGAACTTAGATCAGGTGCGAGTCTACAAAGGGAATGGATGTCGAGTTAACGACTCCAACTGACCTCCCTGTAAATTCAGTTCCGGAGGTAGTCTACAGAGGAGATGGATGTCGAGTTTACGACTCCAACTGACCTCCCTATAAATTTAGTTCAGGAGCGAGTCTACAGAGGAGATGGATGTCGAGTTAACGACTCCAACTGACCTCCCTGTAAATTTAGTTCAGGACCGAGAGCTTCTCAACTCCCCAACTCCTGATCCAATAAACCTTAAAAAAAAGGTTTGGTGGTGCAGCCAGGAAACGACTGAGTCGTCTCCTCAAGAGCGAGGTACCTTATAAAACCGCCTTGCACCAAATTCTTGAGCGGCGTACGCAGAATCTGTCTCAGGTGGGGGAATGAACCCCCATGAGCAGGTTAGCAAACGTTTGCGCTCAAGTGATGATTCACCAAAACCAGAGGCGAAAAGCCCTGCACGGTTGAATCTAAGGCACCGTCAGGTGTAGCTGACGTGCAAAAACCCTCATATGGGAAGGTTCTCGTGGGTATGAAGGTGGGAATCTTGCAACTTGACTATCCGACTACCTCATTAACAGAGCATATACTTTGTGCCTGCCCCGCTGGGGACCGAATCAGGTCTTAAGAGTTCCGCAGAGCCGTACTCTTACCATCTGACCTGAAAGACCACTCACCATACAAACTAATTGGCTTCGTTAAGAAGCTGGGTTTATTTGGCCGAGTGTGAATAAGTGTGAGCCACAATAAACCCTTGTGTGTTGCGTTGATGGGTCGAATAGACCCACTCACTTTGGACCTAACCTAACCTAACCTATTGTGAGGAAATCGACGAAACGTACTGAGAATTGAGTCAGCAGCAGCCGGCACTAGTTTACAGAAGAGGTCCGATCCTGCTCAACGACAGTGCCCGTCAGCACGTTTCACAAATCACCATCCAAGAATTATACGGATTAAGCTTTGAAGTTCTGCCTCGCCCACCAAACTCCCCAGACCTCTCGCAGATCAACTACCATCTTTTCAAACACTTCGATAACTTTCTCGCCGGTTGAGCCCTCGCCAATCAAAATAAGGTAAAAATGCCTCTAATCGACTTTATCGAATCCCGAACACAAAATGTTATGCTGACGGAATCGTCAGCATAATCGATTAAAATATCAAAAACCAATTCAATAACCATTCTCAATATAATACAATGACTAATACCAAAGTAAAGTTACTCCAAATCACCTGAATCAAAATTAAATTCAAAGACACATTTAGTTGTTAAAAATGACAAATGGATCTTTTTCATTTGAATTGACTCTCAGTTACAATTAGTAGTAATAATTTCTAAGGATGACATCTCAATTTCAATTTTTTTTTTTATGTTTTCACATTACATTTGACAAAGAAATCTATATTCCTCAAACAATTTGCAAGAGAACACATATTGTATAGTGGGGAATTTAAACCTAGATTGGTTCGAAGTTTAGGCAAAAGAAATATATCTTTCCTTCTATTATTATTGAAGTATGTACTGCAGTTCAGATAAATTTTTGACAAGAAGTGTGGATTATCTACTTTATTATGCAATAGCTTATAGAAAAATAATAGAAAAGCAAGTTTTCTTCAAAATTCTAAGGTTGTGAATTTAAATTCATTCAAGGAAGTATGATAACTAAGATTAAAAATATATTCGCCATGTTTTTTGTAATGTAGAAATCTTAAGAAATTTTTCTGTACCTTTTCAATTTCATTTTCATGAACTGAATAATAAGGAGACCATATTATTGCACCATATTCCGGTATACTACGGACAAATGCATTATAAAGTGTAAGTAATTGAAATTTGTGAATTTCAATAAGTTATTAATAATGAAGCGAAGCATTGTATATGCTCTGTTTATAATGTTGGTCATATGTTGCTCAAAAGTGAGTTTTTCATCCAGCGTAAGTCCCAAATCTCTACATTCTGTCTTCTTGGCTAAATATTCATTGTTCATCTTATACTGAAAAACATTCCGTAATTTTTTTTAGTTATTGACATACTAAAGCATTTGTCAACATTAAATGTGAGGCGATTTGACAGGGACCACTCGTAAACTCTATCTACGTCATTTTGTAGCATAATCACATCTTATTGACATTTGATTTCCTTGAATAATTTAAAATCATCCGCGAATAGTACACATTGCGAGTCCTGAACTATCTCTGGCAGATCATTTATTAGTAATAAAAAAAGAGGGGTCCTAGATTGGACCCTTGGGGTTCACCAGATCTTGTGAAGAAATCCTCTGATTCCCATCCCTTATAAACTACATAGTGTTTCCTGTCTATAAGATACGAAGCTGACAGCTTCAAGAGTCGATCTGAAAACCCAAAAGTGTATAGTTTTTTCAACATAACCTCGTGATCAACCTTGTCAAAAGCTTTACTAAAATCTGTGAAAAAAATATCTAGTTGACTATTATTCTCGACAACTTGATTTGCCTCTTGTATAAAACATGTTAGGTTAGTTATCGTGGACCTTTTAGGTAAAAATCCATATTGTTTTTCACTTAGATACGGAGAAACGTATATGGATATGGATATGGATAATTGATTCGAAAAGTTTACTGGATTCACAAATCAGTGCTACTGGCTGATAGTTTTGTATATTCTCCCTAATGCCACTTTTGAATATTGGACAAACTTTAGAGCATTTCCATAGTGTAGGGTAAGTGCTAGTTTGCAAGATTAAGTTATATATTATTTTTAGGGGTTTAATCAGGAGTTGTGTGCATCCTTCAACTTATATAAGAGGGAATCATATTTGGACCACAAGATTTTTTTAGTTTGAGTTTTTTTGCGGCTCTTAGAATATCTTCATCATTTACAGAGTCTATATCTAAACAATTAAACTCATAGAAATTGAAAAAACTATTGAAACAACCTAGCTCACACCATCATTCACAACACAAAACGACGAGACTAAAGCATTCTCATCCATAGGCTTTTTACGTTCCTCTTGAGTGAAAAGATATACGATATTGAGGAAAATGTATCAAGAACATAGCTGAAAGCATTGGATATCTTTCAAATATGTATATAGATAAACCAAATGGAAAAAGTAAATTTATGGTGAAAATCGTGAATCTTCAACTTTTCAAGATTGAAAGTTCAATGTTCTTCTATATGAACCAATATACACCAACTAATAAGATCGCATTTTTGAAAAAATGAACATGAAAGTAGGTTCAAAAACCGCTCTTTCACTCCAACAAATGTTAACAATGATATTTGATGAAAGTGAAAAATCGGGATATGAGGATTGAAAAGTATATATTGGTCAAACGAAACGAGCTATCAAAACACGTGTCAAAGAGCAAGCATTACATATAAAAAAAGGTTGAGGACAAAGTCCTATGTAAGCCTAAAAACGAAGGATATCAATAAGTTAATACAATGCATGCAAAAAGAAAAGAAAAATAATTAATAATTAATATATGCATAGAGCCGATTAAGCAAATAAGCAAATGTCTATTTTGTTTTTGAAACTGTTCACTGAGTCGGAATTCATAACAACGTTGGGTAAGTTATTCCATGTTTCGAAAATACGATTCACCAAAAAATATTGTCTTATTGTCTCTGCCTCGTTGCGAATGTTTCCTTTTTTAATTTGAGTGTGTGACCACGTAACCGCGAATCATTGTTGAAAACAAAAAGTTCTTTCTGATTAGCATAGTTATACTTAGCTGTACGGAAAGATATGATGAGGTCCCCACGGAGTCGACGTTGGTCAAAAGCTAGCAGTTGTGCCATCCTCAGTCTTTCGGGATAGGTTGGACGCACTTCACCAAAAGTCATACGTGTGGACCAGCATGATTGGACGAACGTAGATTTTGTAGAGTTTCATGGAACTTGAATATGATAGATGGAGGAACGTTTTGCGGATGAGGTAAATCAGTGTGTTTGCGCGTTTGCATGTGGATATTATATGTTCGGACCAAGTTAAGTCGGTATTAATAGTCACTCCCAAGTCTACATGTGAGGACACTGTAAGTAATGATTGACCGCTTATTGTGTACGTATGGAGTGGATTGTTCTTTCCTTGGTGAAGTACGACGCATTTGTCGACGTTAAGAGGTAGAAGCCAATCCTCGCACCACTGACTAATCGAGTTGAGGGCTTCTTGAAGGGAATGATATTCGACTAAGGTATTTCCATATAGTTTAGTATCATCGGCACAGAACTACCTGCTGGACTTTATGTGAAGAGCAAGATCACTTACATAAACAACTCAGAGGAGCGGGCCAAGAACAGATCCCTGGGGAACTCCACTTGTGACTTGTCTGTGCGAAGAAAAAGAGTGACCCATTTTGACCGAGAAAGTTCTATCTGTCATGTAATTTTCAATCCATAGGTTTAGTTGGCCTCGACTACCGTGTGTGTCAAGTTTGTGCATTAGCCTCCTCACTGGGACCCTGTCGAAAGCCTTGGCAAAGTCAAGGTAAATGATATCTGTTGGTATTTTCCTATCGTAAGCTGTCGTCCAATCGTTCATGCATTGTAGTAGATTGCTGGTTGTTGATCTACCTTTGACGAAACCATGTTGTTCTGGTGGTATGATTGCGATTTTTGTTAACAATTCTGACATATCTTCTACGATTATGGATTCCATTACTTTGGAAGGTACGGATAAAAGACTAATGGGCATGTAGTTAATTGGATTGAGTTTATCGCCTTTTTTAAAATAGCGGTGACAGATGCCTTCTTTCAAGCCCGTGGAATGCGAGATTTTGCGAAAGAGACTGACATAATTGTTGATAACGGAGACCAGAAGCCCAGATAAGCCTAGTTGCTCAATATGCCTTTCAAAACGGCCGTAGAATGAACAACACTGTATTGAATTGTTGAGATCGGTATATGACACTAGATTTTTGTATACTTTCGATAGTCGTGAAATAGCTAAGTGTTGCATAAGAACTATGAACAGTGATTGGGGGCCTGTTATAAACAGCTCATTGTTCACGTTTATATGAATCACTGTTGAAAATTTGCAGAAACTTTATCTATGATAATGAGTGCCTTTTAGTGGCGTTGAATTCTACAAAATTGCGGATTTTTTTGTAATCTTGATCCACACTCATATGGTTCACTTATTTGCTTCACTTGACTCTGTTAAGAATAACTGTAATCTGCGACCCGGTGTTTTGTATAGGACTTTGAATTTTGGATTATGGTTGCGGCAAGCAGATGCATGGTTAGCGTAGCGTATTGAGTATCCCAGTGTTGATGATGAAAACCACACTGATTGTTTATAATTTACGGTTCATGAGAGGTATCCAAAGTTTTTGAAGTTAGTGATTGCTTTAACTGTGCAAAGACCCTCTATGAGTTCCTACTGAAAGAGCCCTGGCTCCATCGTAGAATTTTTACCAACATTATCTTCCGGCGATCAAGAAAAAAGTTTCATATTTATTGACAGGAGTAAGGAATGTGGAATATTCCATTATTTTCATGATATTCCAAGAGCAAAAGTAAAGGTATAACAAGTGAAATATTTAGTTCCGATATACTTACAACTCGTATATTTTCTTTCTAGAGTCAATATAGCGATGTCATTGGTGCGCTGAAGTGGACTGAAATTTTCATGGATTTTGAAACCAATTACTTTTATGTCTTCTGGTTCTGCTCCCTCACTGTTACTATAGAGATCAAGTTCTCCCAATCGAACTAAATATCTGAAAACCAAAACCTATCATAGTAATCAGTTTGTGGAAACGACGGTGGTTTTGCCCTCAAGCACTGGCTGCAGAGGTTGCAAATAGTTCAGTCATTCAGTTATAACAATTAGAAATGTAAAGGTGTTCCCGGCTAAAAAAAATGATATACACTGATTTTTTCCACATTCGTTCACAAGTCTCTCTGAATATTTAAAGAAAAATACCTTGTTTTGGTTGATTTTCTTGTGGTTACAATGGTTGCGTAGTTACAATGGTTACGTGGTTACAATGTAACCAAAAAGGACCACGGCAAAACTTGGAAACCAACCAAAACATTGACGCCAACCGTGAAAGCCTACATTACTATAGAAAGATACATTGTGAGAAATACCTACAAATGGTCTGATTAAAGTATTATCACCCATTCTAAATTGACCGTGTGCGAGATTTAATGAAGATTCCAATCGAACGTAGTCATAGTAAGAAATCAGTGAATTGAATTTGAAAAATATTTGGAAATACTAATAACTACATCATAATCTTTGTATGAACAGCTATCATGTACAACAATCATTGTCCCACAGTCAACTTGAGATTAATCTGGAATGTTTCTCGGTGAAACGAAAATATGGCAAGGATGAAACTATTAATAGCCTTCGGAAGTACAAGAAAATCAGGTGCATGGGACAGAAATGAAATCTGTCTATTATAATACAACAAAGCTCCGAGCAATTAGAAGGGATATTTATGGAGAAGACAATACTGGAGGGTTGAACAAACAGGAGACAACAAAATAGAAAAGCCTTTAAAACCGCAAAGAAATTCAGGATCATGAGATCAATAAAAGGTGCCTAACTGAATATAAAAAAGTCTTGAGGAAATCCAAGAGAGAGAAGGCAATGAGAAAAAGTCGAACAATCCCAAGTATGTGCCAGGCTGTACAAGATACTCTCAAAAAACATCAGGTCTCAATAAAAACAGACAGGGATAACACACAGAAACATAAAAACAGGAGGAGAGGCTATAAGAGCGCTTCTCCGGGTGCACTTCCACGGTTCAAAAATTACAAATCCAACACTGAAGTCCTGGACAAATTCAGTATTGGAGACTTCCCATTGGTAGGTCACAAAGTAAGTGGTAAATCTGGAGAAGATTACTTCCCTTCAACCATATAAGTCGCCAGGACCAGACATCAAAAAGGTTACTTACACAATGGAGCCTTGATTAGCGCACACTGCCATACTAGATCACCGCTTGGTCAAAAAAGGGGGCACATGTTGGAGGTTATAAGCTCACTCATTTGTTTGTCGATCATTTCAACCGCTACCACCAATATTTCTACATCCAGTGATGAGCAGTCGCTACCAGTAGAACACAAACAACTTATAAAGCTTGCCTTGACAGTGTGTCGATGGCAGATAGTAAGTAACAACTGCTCATGCACTAGGCATTCCACCTAAGTTTGGGTGAAAACAGTCGGGGGTAACTATTCTTTTAGCTTCCATCCAGGCTAATAGCGCTCACATAGGTAACCTACCAGGCTTACTATGCACTGATACGTTATTTATAATGAGAGGATTATGTGGCGGCGAGCGAGTAATCAATCATCCAGGCTGCCAGCGTCCATCCCGGTTCTTCTGTGTTCGTACCCCAATCCACTAATGCTGCAAAAAGAACCGGAACTTCTACTTCAAAAACTGAGCAAGTACCAGGATGTTAATCTAAGACATGAAGACATATATGTCTTTGGTGTGATGGTGGTTCATATTATAGCTACCCGCTCGTTCAATAAACATGCATCTCCCATGCACAAGAAGTATTAATGTTTGGCCTCAACTAAATGAGCCGATTGATATTCTTATAGACAGCAAAGCTGCAAACGAGCATTGATGAAACCAAGAGAGACATGGAGACTTTTCTGAGAATGCAGTGAAGAAGTGACGGACAGAAACTGGGTGCCAAAAAACCTAAGAATACAAGCAAGCAAGAAGCTAATGAGTGTGCTGGGGCTGGTAGGTCGTGGTCGAATGGAACTTGTAGTGTGCCTCTCTTGAACCAAGTGTGGTTGAACTTAAACTATTGCTACGGTAAGCAAAAAAAGAAGCATTAAGAATAACTGAGAAAATATCGATGCACAAAAGAAACTGCTCCAAAAAATAAGGGATCGGCTAGAAATAATTACAGGGTCACTCACTGGACACTGCTCAATTGGAGAACACCTGAACATAATAGGGATTTAAAAAGAGACCTCAACTGCAGGCAAGACATAAAACCACAGGGAGCTTGTTATGTTGCATGCAAATGTGAGACATTGGATCACAGGGGCAATTTATTTATGGACAACTTGAATTGTGCCCAGAAGATAGAAAAAACGTTTAAGAACTAGCACTTTGTTAGAATAAGTGCTATAAAAAGATGGAAGAATAAATGGAAGAAATGACAAGTCAGACGACTACTGAACCATAAAAAACTATATAGCATACCAGCTGTTTGTTCTTTGAGACGGTCTTTGACTGACGGTTGAGACGGTCTTTGACTGAGAACAGTCATTTGGGTGTACTACTGTGTCTTTTTTGGAGTTTTCATCTTTGGTGAAACCAATGTAGCCAGTTCTTGAGAATAATCTCATAACCTGTCAAATGAAAAATATTATGATATACCTACAAATCCGTTCTGTTATGAACACAATGTGCCGCTGTTAGAATGTGTCTGTCACTAATCAAAGAACCCCCACAAAGCCATTTTGGTACATTTGGATTCCATCTATTTCTGTATCCTAGTGTAACGATGAAAGGAAATTGATCTAAAAAATATAAGAAATGTACAAATTTGTCTGTCAGGTGCATTCGCAGAAATAGCGAAGCAACATCAATTACAGAATGTGTGAATAAGAAATATTAGTGATTCTCCTTGAAACTTTTCGCCTAAAAAATTAATAAGTTATGTGTCATTACCTATTTTAGAAAATACAATGGTTTCTATTCTACTGAATGTGTCTAAATAAATACCATTGATTGGGTATGAATGTCATTCAAAATACTCTACACCTATTTATTTACTGAAACGGATGTGCAAGATTCCGAAATGACCGAGAAATTCACGCAACCTTTGGTAATTTCGATTATTCACCGGGAAAAAGGTCATTTGCGTTGGTCAAGCGGATTGTACGATTTAGATGCCGCAGAAGGTAATAATATAGCCCTTCATTTATCGAACAGGATATTAAGCTGCCCATGATCTCATTTCATATATCCATATTTTCTTGCCTCAACATTTTAGTAATTGAAACCGTATGTTAATTCTGTTTGTTACAGTTAGAATCGACTGGGGTATACTTATTTCTTAAACTGAATATTGAAGATATACAGTGCGAACGTAAAAAAGACAATACATTGAATAGTTATAAATTCTTACTGTCAATTTTCAGTTTGCCTAGACAGAAAATAATGATTGAGGTGTCATTCGATTTGTAAGGTGAGTAATTTCCCATTCGAGCCAAGTTTCACAAAAAAATACTTTGAAAGTTTTAAACAATTCAGTCAAAAAAAGGAGTGGTTCGGTTTTTGCGAACATTTCTAAAACTATTGCAGTTATTCGAAATTTGAAAAAATACCTTTGAAGAGCAAAAAATCAACCGAATAAAAATCTCTTTCGTTCCCTCCTGTTCATAAAAGAGGACATATGCCTCATCGCTCACAAGTGATTTTGGCGAAATTGGGAACACGTATTCATGCCACGTGCCACTATATGGGTGTCTGCAATATGCTGTGTAATGTCTGTTGTAAGTAGTCCCACTGTGATTTGAAAGTGCATATAGATTATAACGACAAGGAGCCACATTGTCTGCTGCATAACTGCTCATATCTAGTCTATCTGAAGAAAAGTCAATGGAAACATTCAATTTGCCTCTGAATCTTTCCGTTGGAGAGAATATTCTCAAATTAATTACTAAAATACGGGGAAACTTATAGATTGATAATGACTTTGTACATTTTCTCCTTTGCATGCACCTCGAACCCATTGATTTTTCATCTCCATCCAGAGTTTCCTCTCTTGTGAAAGAATCCAAGCAATGTGACAAACTCAATTGACCAGTTTTTTGTGGTATGGGAAGAGACAAATCCCAGAAAGGATCAAAGGTTACTGATGAGTGTCCACAGTGTGTGCACTTTATAGTGGATTTTAATTGACCAACGAAATAGTCTACAATCTTGGAGTTGTTCATATTCAAATATCTCTGCCAGGACTCTTGTGCTTTTCCGTTATCGCTCAAGTTTTCGTCAATCTCAGTTAAGATCGGTTCAGGTTTCTCAGTGATTCTGTTGAGGTCCTCATGTAAACCTTCTAAAAGATATCGAATGAATTCGTGGGCGTCTTGATGGGCAGAACCCATGAATATAGGGGCAAATCTTTGAATCTGATTTTTGAAGTAGACTGTGTTAATTACTCTATCAGATGAATCTTCTGATCACAATTCCTTGATAACTTCTGCGAACGCTTTGATTAATACACCTTTCATACTAGAAATACTAGTATTAATATCTTCCATGTATGTATCCTTTTTTAGGTATTTCAGCAACCATCCCGTGTTTGATAAACATTGGATTAAACTGTTCATGAAACAGGTATTTCCAAGATTTTTTAAACCACTGAATCCAAGAGTTTTGACTGAAGAATGTATCACCGATCTATTGTGGCAACTACCTTTGCCACTACTATCTTCTTCTGAGTGAACACGGATACGATGATTCCCCCCTTCATTGGACTGGTAGGATAAGGAATTCGAAGCAAAACTGCTCAAAACTGAATTAGAAATCCAACTTCCTTTTCTGTCAAAGCTTGGCCGTTTTGCTGCGAGTTTTTTACCAAATTGCACAACTCCAGTTCTTGCACTGTCTCTACATGCCGATATATTTTGTTCATGGGAAACATTGGTGATTCACTTAGGGTTTTTGATTGAGGAATTGTACCTAAACATGAAGCTGCATTTCCTTTTTGAATCAGAATGCTGATTTTTTGAATCAAGAAAGAGGTAGCTCTTGGGTCATTCGTTTCTTTGGATATCCTAATGCCGATTTCACGAATGAACTCCAATGCTTGGGGGCCTAAGGTACCAAATGTTTCGATTCCTATTGCATAAAAAATGAAATTATTTCCCAAATAATTGTATTTCCGTGTTTTTGACAATTCCGCTGATGAAGCTGCTGCACCGCTGGATACAGAAGTCGAAGGAACGTGACAAGGAGCCAAAGTATCGACGCATGTGAAATCCCGGTTTCCTTTCCGCCAAAGAATGAGAGTCATGCCATCTGGTCGTTTCCCAACATCGCTGCAAGTGCCTGGGGCTTCTAAGATGGAAGGTATATTTGCCGAACCTAAGGCACGTTTGATGACATCATTTACAGCTTGATGACGGGAAAAGCGCCCGGCGCTATATCTACAACTCAATCCATGATATCCTCGGGTGTCTACTTCCACTCCACACGTGTTGAAGATTTACAGAGATGTGGGAAAGAGTTTATTTTGAATTCAATTGTTTATTCTTTCTTTTGGAAGTTTCCCGCATTTTCTGTATAAAGACGGAGAAGTAGAAAGCCAAAAGTGTAAAAAATATACAAATGGGAATACGCAGTGAGCAATTCATACCTACTGTCTTTCTCAGAAATCAAATTATGCTTACCAAGAACAGCTGGCATTCCACCAACTATCCTGCCATTTTTCACATTACTCAAACCACAGTGAGGTTTACTCAGAAGCTGAGGTAAAATATCATCATCACTTGCTTCGCTTTTTCTGGAATCTTCAGGATTTGTTTCAGTCGAAACTTGTTTATTTTCAATTGCATTTGTGTTGGATCGACTGTTTTCATTCAAGTCAGCAGATTTTTTTTGAGGGCAACAAATAACTGGAATGATTCCGATAAAGGAACATGTTGCCTTTGTAATGTAAGACATTGTTTCTGGATTTTGGCTCTGACTCCGTAGAAGATTTATCATAATGTCACATTTTAGAATGATGGTACAAGTACCTTCTTCCTGTCTTGATGTTTGACATGATGACCCTTCAGGTACTGTAAAAAGGAACAACGTTAGGTGGCAATATCAATTGACTGTTGGAGATTCTTCATTCATTGATAGATGTGAAATCTAAATATGAAGAAGAAATTGAAAATACTCGGACCGACATATGGGCGAGTTACAAAATGGTGGAAATATTATCGAAATTTGAGAAAATTGTGACATCAAATGGAAATTAATTGATAATGAGGGTTACAAAGATGTGATTAACAATAATTAAGTGATACGTATCACAAAATGAAAATATGGATACTGATGATTTTGAAAGAGTACAGATAAGAAAGCAGAAACGAAACCAAAGACTACCACCAAGTAAAACGATTGGACAAGGAGAAGAAACCAATACTCATGGTCTCAAAGGAGCTTTACCTAAAGCATGGATGTACTTATACAGGGTGTTGCCCGAAGTCGAAACAACTCGCATAAAGAGTCACCTGAAGGAGAAGTTAGGAGAAAATGAAGATTATGTAGTGAAAGAGTTACCATCATAAATCCCGCAAAAAAATGCTTCATGGTCGGCGTAAAGTTGGCCAACAAGGATCAGACATATGTCCCAAGCTTGTGGCCCAAAGAGGTTGGCTTCAGACGTTTTGATTTCGCCAAGTACAACTCTTATAATCAGCAAGACTCCCCATCAAATTTTATGTAAATAAATATGACATATCAAATAAACAACCCATGAAAATAATTGTTATACATCAAAACATTCAATCTCTAGGAAATAGTGTAGATAAAATAGACACATTTTTAAAAAACAATGAGACATGCCATTTTTTCTGTGCAACTGAACATTGGAAAACTGAGCAACAATTGAAATATCTAGGATTGGACGATCTCAAATTAACATCATATGTTTGTCGAGAACTAAATGAACATGGCACCTCAATTACTACCAAATTCCTCAAATATTCCATTTCAATGTGATATCCCAGTAAATATGCAATCGATGTTCGTGAGAGCCATAACCCCAGAAGAAATAATAGAACTATCTAGAAAACTAAAAAATAAACATTTCAGTGGAGAAGATGAAATTTCTACTAGTATTATGAACAAAAGCTTATTTGCCATTAACGAAATCATAGCATATATCATCAATAATTCACTGAAGTATGGCATATTCCCAACAGGATTAAAAACATCCATTGTTTAAAAATCTGTTTAAAAAAAAAATCTGTTTTAAAATCTGATTTTCCGTTAACCAGCTGTCGCACCCCTAGGAACGACAACCCTCAGAAGTCGAAACTGGTGCGAGCTAAGGATTAACGAGGTCTTACCTTTTAACGTGTGATTCCTAACATTGTGAAGCCACAAGGTGATCCCGAGAGCCTAGAAAATTACCGACCAATATGCATCCCTCCTAGTTTTTCAAAATTATTCGAACTAGCAATGTCAGTGAGAATTAAAGAGTTTATGAATCAATGTAACTTATTTACTAGGCTTCAACATGGATACTTACAGGGTAGATCAACACAAACGGCCATATATCAATTCACACAAAATATAACGAACATGATGGAAGAAAAATTGATAGATCTCGGGATGTTTTTGGATCTATCCAAAGCATATGACTGCTTGAATCATCAACTAATGTTAATAAAATTAGAAAGATATGGAATAAGACGTTCAAAGCTAAAGTAGGTTGAATCCTACCTATCAGATCGCCTTCAATCTGTAGAAATAAAACGAAATGGAAGAGTCTATAAATCCGAAACCCTTTCCACAGACGTGGGAATTCCGCAGGGGAGCATTACCGGCCCTCTTTTGTTCGTCGTCATTTATTTGAACGACTTATGTAATCTAAACCTATACCAACGTCAGTTCAAGACTATCTTCGCAGATGACACAAATCTGTTATCAGGTGGTGAAACCTTCCCAGAGATGATGGCAAATAGTACAGATCTATTCAACAAAACTAAGGACTGGTTCAATAAAAATAAACTTGTACCAAATGAATCGAAGACACATATGAGTTTGTTTAGAACAAACCAAGACAACATTGATTATCCAGTTAGGGTTGACCTTCAAAACTCTTCTTTTGAACTGTCCCACAACACCAAATTTTTAGGAATCCACATAGACGAGAACATGAATTGGACTTCTCATATTGATAACCTCGCAAACATAACGTTTTTATATTGGTTGTTTCAGAAGTGTTGTCACTTTTTATGAGTCTACTTTAAACTGTAATATCTCGTAAATACTTTTTCAAAATAATAAGCGCCATTTTAATCAGCGCCCTTTTGACAGCGGTTTTGCTTGGTCCTGACTGACGAAGTTTCTACCGGTGAGAAAGTTATCGAAGTACTTGAAAAATGGTGGTCGGTTGGCGAGAGGTCTGTGGAGTATGGTGGGTGAAGGAGAATTTCGACGCTCAATTCGTTTAATTTTCGGACGGTGATTTGCGAGACGTGCGGACGAGAGTTGTCGTGGAACAAGATAGGGCCTCTTCTATTGACCAGTGTCGGCTGCTGCTGACGCAATTTCCGGTTCATACCAGCCGCTGACCACCATACCGTAACCATGGCCTTTTTTGGTGGATTTTCGCTTTTGTAAAGGCAAAGAAGAATATACCTCGAAACGTGATAATTTCTGACGATCATTCAAATCGTGGGGCACCTACTTTTCGAGATTTTTGACCTTTCAATTACGTTTTAAACCATCAAAAAACGCATGAGAGTCGACGCCCAGTTCTTCCACCATCCCACTCACCGTTTGTGACGGGTCAGTCTCCACCAGGGTCCTTAAATCCTTGTCCTGGATTACTGTAGGTCAACCAGTTCCGAGCTTTTCTTCGAGGCTAAAATCTCCAGACGCGTGCATTAATACTATCATTGCCAAATGCCTGTTTAATTTATGGGGTAGTGCTTTGGTTCAATTTGAATTCGTAGAGAAAAAATGGTCGAAAATCGCTTAGCGACATATTATTTTAAAAACAAAACACAAGCACTACAGGAAAATTATTAAGGCGCTCTAACAGCGGCGCCTGTGCGAAAGTAGCGATTAACGTTGAATTTGAATCGCTGGAGATTAAATTCATTCGGAAAAACGTTCTAAGGAAGTTCATTGCACAAAAACGCAGTTCTCCAGATGAAAGAGTTCTTAAACAGTGAAGTTTGAAGTGTACTGAGTTGAACCTCAAAACGATGAGCAGCCACAGTCCGTCGCGTATTTCTGATATGTACCGCTCTTGGTGGAATCAAATGTTCCAAGTGACTTAAACACCTATCGTGAAAGTATCTATAAAAGAGAGACAAATCTCCAACCTTTTTTCGATGTTCCAGAGAGGTTGCAAGTGAGGTTCGTGTTTCCAATCAGGCGGATGGCTCTTTTCTGGATGTAATCCAGTAACTTCAGGGTATGTTTGGGGGCAGAGCTCCATACAAGAGAACAATACTCCAAAGAAGGTCTGATCTGCGCTTTATAAAGCATCAACAGTTGCTGAGGTGTGTACAGTTTTCTGGTTCGGAACAGTGTTCCAAGCTTTTAAGAAGCAGCCTTCGTAATTCCAGCGACATGATTGTGCCAGGACATATTGGTGTCTATTTTAACCCTCAAAAAACTCATCGAAGCAGAAAGCGGAATTGTTTGTCCCAGTGGCGGCGCAAGGCCTAAATTTATTGTGGGCAAGGTACATTTTGTGAGGCCCTCTGATGGTGTATATTTGCTCTTCTGGCATTTTTTTCAGTGTGTTTAAGACTTGTTAGAGAAACCCAAAATTTTCAAAGTGTTGATATAAATCTCGAATTCATATTGCTTATCACAAAATCAATCACGGTATTAAAAAATTTTGCTCATACCGGCTTTTGGCAGACTGTATAAGTTAGTCGCTGCCTTCATAATCAAACATCCTTTTCTTTTTTAATATACTTTCATTATTAAAATCTCTTAGCAAGTCATAATTGCTTTTCTCAATAAATTAACGAGCGCCAGACAAGCAATTTTCTATGCGGTTTATCGATATTCTTTGATCCAGTCACAAATACTTATGATGCACTGTTTGGAATCTTTGGTGTAGTAATGAATATTACTGGAGTTTTTTCCCAACATCAAATCGTTATTTTTAACACCTCGACACGTGTTGGGAAAAAACTCCAGTAATATTCAGTCACAAATAATAAAGATAAGACAAAGAAGGGAATTTTTCAATTCATCAATTCCATAATACAATGTAGTTTATCACAAAAATAAATATATTCACGAATTTTTCATTCATATGCTTTCCTGGGCCGAAGAGTGCAATATCTTTAGGTTGAGAATTTTCTAATGTATTAATTATAAAAAAATCATGGCGTGTCCTTTTGGATTTTTTAAAATTTATTTTCTGCTTTGAGGCGCGAGGCCCTTCGCACCGCGAGGCCGTGGGCGGTCGCCCACACCGCCCATGCCTTACGCCGCCTCTGGTTTGTCCTGACATTATTATATAAGGTTCAGAGACATTTACCTTTTTGGAAAAAACCGATGCCTGGGTTTTCATGGCATTGAATTGAACCTGGTTACTTTCACCCCAATTCGAAATTACTTCTAGATCCTCATTAAGATATGCAACCTCCTGCTACCGGTGAAAATGTGCATCCGCAACCAACGTCCTGGAATCCATATAGAATGACGAGACAAGTGTCCTGTCGTCAGCAAAGCAATATTTTGGATTCTTGGTTTTCTCCAATGAGTCGTTGATATACACGGAAACGTAGAAGGGCCAAAGATTATTTGTTTCGACTTAAAAGTCGAAATTTCGATTTTTATTTCGTAATTTCGACTTTTATCTCGTAATTTCGACTTTTATTTCGTAATTTCGACTTTTGTCTCGTAATTTCGACTTTTATCTCATAATTTCGACTTTAATCTCGTAATTTCAACTTTTATCTCGTAATTTCCACTTTCATCTGGAAATTTTGACTCAAAAGTAGTTATAATAAACAGGCAAAAAATTTAAATTTGGAAAAATGAACAGCACCAGTGTATAGAGTACAGAATTTTCTATCAATCAGTATATACGATACAATAGAATGAATATTCATTGAGGTATAGAGCTACAATAAAACGTGGCATTAAAACGGACAAAACTCTTGAAACAACTTAATATTTGTGTTAATCTATTTGTTGTATTTTGGAATTTCCAATTATGTCTGTTCCATCATTTATATAATTTGGTAATGAACTTTGATCTCGTAATCAAGTTGATTTTTTAACTTGTGGCGTCCATATGATTAGGTATTATCGAATTAATAAAAACTTTCTCAGGTTTTTTGAAATCTCAGTACGTGTAAACAGTATCATATTACGGCAAATGTATACATTTTCAGGTAAATGTGCACATTTGCTTCCTCGTTTGGGTAATGTGCATTCAACTAACATTTACAATTTCAAATAAGGAAAATGTTCATTGAATTCATAATGACCATGTCGTTTTGGTAAATGTGAGCATACAAAATACGAAATCGCAAGTGCTAGTAATGTGACCAAGTGGTCAGAAGGTTTAAAATATGTTCAACTGATGAAAAATAGAGCTTTTCATGCGGGTATAAAGCTTTATTCGGAACAAGAATGAAATTGGGTTTGAAAACATCAAATTTACCTATGAAATCTGTTGAACAGCCGGAAACAGAAAAAAAGTTAGAGGAATTACACGAAGGAGTACACACAGCCAATTCACCACAGCAAAGTCGCAGAAAACGATAAATTTTCCATTGAAACGTTAGATATAATTTTGGAGGATGGTTTATTATGCAACCAAATTGAAGATAAAGATGGAAGTTATCAAAATGTGTAATCTTTTGAAAGAAAAATTTCCTGCTGCTGTGATTGGTGACAATGTTAGAGTTTCCATTCCAGACGTTGATCGTGGTAAAACGGATCCAAAAAATTTGATATGCGTTGATGATGAAAAAAATGTATATGAATTAGGAACTAAACAGGGAGTTTTAAAACAATTTTATTCTAGGCATGAATTCGCCATTTGCGACTTATTAATAAATTAGTTTTATCAACTTTTCTTAACACATGAAAGTAAGAGTATACATTTACCAAAACGTGAAGGCAAGAGTACACATTTGCCGGGAAATTTACACATACATTATATTCAGTTTACATATGCCAAACATTTTGGGAAATGTACACATTTTACGGTAATAGTATACATTTCCCAAGAGTGTACATTTACCGTAACATATACGTATATAATATTCAAATATATGGAGCAAGTTAATCTATTTGCATGAAAAGATAATTTTGTTATGAACTGACCTCACTCACTTTACAGAAATAATATTAATATTACCACTCTTCAAAATATCACTATACTCACAATAGGCATAGGCGAAAGTTATTAAAGATATAGAATAAAGTAATTTTAACGTCCACATTGTGATATGATCTCAAGCACTAATGGGAAAAAATATTCGCGATACAAACTTTTAATAAATATCTTGTCGCTTACTAAGATATCAAAAACCCAGGTCAATCTATTCATTTAATGCTATCTTAAATTTAGCATCCACTTCCCCCACTGTTTGTAATCTTTCAAAACAAAACATTGAACGTAGTCTGACAGTGTTTCTTACTTTGTTTCAGTCTGTCGGTTTATAAATAACACCAGTTTTTTATTCCAGTTTACGCATAATATAGGTAGAGCGTAAACCAACGAAATATAAAAGATTTCAATGTTATACAGGGGACATTCAAATTCGAGTCAATACAGATCTCGTAAACGGTAGGTAAGGCGTAGAGAGAGGCGTAAGATTAAATTGTGGCAAAGTCGTGTACTTTCGGATACCAAAAAAATCGACTCTTGCTCTTTTGGTTCCGGAGAACTCTTACCAGTTGGGAAAAACCGAAAATTTCGAAATTCATTTCTTTGCTGTATCTTCTTCATCTGTAGAATTATTGAAATACTGTGAATTTTGCCAATTTACTATCAGAATATATGATGAAAGGTGAAACTGTAACTTTTGGCGTAGAGAAAATCCAATCATCAGAACTGCAATAGTCTTCTCGACGCTTGTTTCACCAACCAAGCTGCCGTCTTCAGAAGATGAACACCAATTCATATTTTGCATATTTTTCAGTGGTTGAAACCAGATACCAAAAACAAAGCATTCGTGATCCAGACAGCCTTGTTCCGACCTTGTTCTGATCTCATCAGTTAGTAAAGGGTCTTTCATTAATCTATAAATTTAAGTGAATCAAAGTGTTTGTGAGATATCATCAAATTTTTTTATTCGTTTGAAATACCCATTGATGCCATTATATATGGAATATAACGTCGTTCACATGTTCGCTACGGCTTCTCTGGGTGGAGCGCATTCGAAACGTCCAATTTTCCATGACTCGGTGCATAAACTAGGCTAAATTTGAACGATGGCATGGGTTATGTTGGCTTTGAGGGCCGCTGTGGTTTGTGGCTTATTCGCATACACCTGCGACTTAAAAAAACCCACTAGAAAAAGTCTAACGGGCTCAAATCTGACGATCTCGGTGGCCAGTTCACATCGCGTCCACATGAGATGACCATGCCCTCAAATCGCTCGTGTAGAATATCCACTGTGGCACGAGCTGTATGGCACGTAGCGCCGTCCTGTTGAAACCACATGTCGTTAGTGTCCAGATCATATAATTCAGGTCGAAAGAAGTTGGTACTCATCGACTTATAGTGCTCGCCGTTGACAGTGGTGGTCTGGCCAACGTCTTTCTCGAAGAAATATGGAATGATGACGCCGCCAGCCCAAAATCCACACCAAACAGTGACTTTTTAGGGATGGATTGGACGCCCTTGTATCTCATGTGAATTGGTATCGTTCGAAAATTGGTATCGATGAAAATTAAGGTCATTTGCCAACTGTTCCAGAGCGAACACACGTCGTTGCCTATGGTCATTTACCTTCAGTTCCTGGATTAGTTGAATTTTGTACGGGTGCAGGTGCAAGTCACGACGCAAAATTTAAAAATTTACCAAATTGTGGTCTGACCGACCGGTCAAAGTTTATTGTTGTTTCGTATGTACCGAGATACACTCATAGTTTGGTTCGAATTTTTAAAACTTGAGCATATAAGTAGCTTTTAGAAGAGCTTGTACACTGAAGTGTTTGGTAACACACTTGACATGACACTAGACTTCTGGATACTTTCGAAAGCCTGGGAATAGCAAAGTGCGGCACGAGAACTATGAAAACCGTCGAAGATCAAACAACTCATATTGTAAATTTTTCACGAACGACTCTTGTTGAGATATTTCTCTCTAATTTACACTTGAAACATTATCAATGCACGACTGAAAGTGGAAATGACGGTTCACTTTGGTTTATATAAATAGGCATCAGTATGCAGAAAAATATTGTCAAAGACGATGACAAAGGGAGAAATACATATAAAGGTGAAAAAGTTGTGAATATTTTTAATTTTGATATATTTTTCTAATGATATAACTGTCGGTAAATTCTCTTCTATTACACAAAACAATATTGCTTATGGATATTAAGAAAACCAACCACTGAATATTAGTCGGCATGACCTTGACATGAGATTAAATCACAAAACGATTACAGTTAATGTATCAATAGGGTCGTAAAAACGACCCTATCTTACATCATATGTTTATGTCTCCTGAGAAAGAAAACCGTTATCCCAGTAAAATTTACAAATTTGAACAAAATTGATTTTTAGTTGGCAATACTGGATGATTTTATGATTATTCCAGTAGGAACCTACACTTTCGACATTTAGAAATATCTTTGTGAGCATCCTTCAAATTTTAAATGTCAGTAAAAGGTGGTAGATGGCAGAACCATTAGTTTATATCTTCTGCCTTCTGTCAAAAATTAATCAACACATTGAGAGTTTTTACAATTTCGAAGAATTTATTGTTATTGATTGATTGGAATCACGGAAAATGAAGTAGCAAGCATTGACTTCAAAGAGTGACTGTCGTTAGAATGAGTTGGTGAAAAATAAAATTCCATTCAGTAAAAATGGGATGGTTTACATGTTGTCAGTGCAAGTCAAAAGAAGAAAAAGTAACAGAATTGGATTTTTCACGTTGTGGAATATCAGAAGTACCTAATGAAGTTTATGCAAACTCACCAACTCTTGAAGTATTACATTTAGAAGGAAATAAGGTAAATGCTGCAATGATTCATGTTTATGGAGTTGACAAAATAAACTTTTTTAATTTTCTAGCTGAAAGATTTATCCCCACAGTTATTCCAGTGCATAGATCTGAGATATCTCAATGTGAGCGATAACGAAATCCGAGCCATACCACCACTAATATCAAAACTGACCAATCTACAAGTTTTAATATTTAGTAAAAATGGTAAGAACTTGTAATAAATTCGAAGAGATTCCTGATCATTGTCAAGTGGGATTCATATTCATAGTTTATTCAAATTTAATTTTGAGAGTTTCAACATTTGTAAAATGCCGAGCCCAAAAACCAAGTATTTGTGATCCAATACCGCATTTTTTTGACCCACCATAGATCTCTTAAGTGGTGGCTAGGCTGAACCACAATGCATTGCTGGACTCGACTGTCTTTAAAGGACAGTTGCAAAGCCAAGTTTCAACTTTCAACTGCTACATGAGATTCACCCTATCTTTCACAGCAGCTTTAATTGCTAAGCATCTAGTTGGTCTGGATTCCTGGCCACATTGGTCTGGCAGACAATGAAGCTGCCCTTTCATGTAGGAGTTTGCAAGTAGTTTCATTGGACCAGAACCTATCATCGGCATTGCTTCAGGCTTGGCCAAGCAAACACTGAACACCTGGACTTTTTACCAGGATTAGCCTATGTCAGGGTATATCATATGAATAATGTGGCTACAAAACTGTTATACTATAGCAGGAATGATCTTAACAGGACTACCTACAGCTTACGGTCGTCTGAAATCATATGAAGAGACTTGGATTGTCAGAAGATTGCATTCATCGTCTTTGTTTTGAAGATGATTAAACAGCAGAGGACATACTGTGCCTGCTCCAGTTTACAATATTTGGCTCTTGTAATCGTACCTAACACCTAACAAACCAATAGGCTTCATTGAGAAGCTGGATTCATTTGGTAGAGTTTGAATTGATGTCAGCCACAAAAAATCTTTGCAGGTTGCAGAGGAGGATTAAACAAATCTCTTCACTTCGAACCTAACTTAACCAACTTTACGTCTTATCTTGAAATTTTCTGCATGCTATTTTCAGGATACAACCAAAACATTTTATAATGTGTAATTTTTTTTTCAGTTTTAGATGGAGTTCATCCTAACTTAGACAAATTAAGTAAACTAACATTGTTAGACCTCAGTATGAATGACTTAGGAAGAGTACCAGATGCTATAATGAGCCTTATTAACTTGCAGCAACTTTGTTTAAATGATACAGGAATTGATTTTGTTCCTGCTAATATTGGACGCCTTTCCAATTTAAGGATTCTCGAACTAAGGGACAATAATTTATGCGAATTGCCAAAATCCATTAGACGTTTAACAAATCTACAAAGACTTGACGTGAGCGACAACAACCTGTCAAATTTGGTGAGTTATGAGGTCTGATATTGAATACACTTGCAATATGGATTTAGATCTTTTTAATTCTTCTTTGGAGTCATTTATAAAACGGAAAAGATTGTAGTTGATTGGCTTATTTTTGCCTTTCTTTTTTTATTTTTCCTTAGAGTTATAGTACATATGTGTGAATTTGTTAATTATTTTGTAAAAATAGGCAATGCCTTGAATAAATAAATGAATATATAGGCTAGTTTACTTCTGTTTATTGTACCCTAACGGCTTGTCTGTTTCTTGTATTTGAATGAGTTTAAAAAATAGAACTAGCTCGTCAGTTGAAATTGTTTTGTATCTCTACTAATGAGAAAGTATCTGATGGAGCCAATTTGTATTGGCTTGTATATTATTTTCTTATATGTACAAAACGTAATTGTGTTCCTTCTAGACTGAGGTGTGCGAGGCGCATGGAAACCTAACCGAGTTATGGATAAATGGCAACAATATTTTCGAACTTTCTGTATCTATCACTCACTTGAAAAAAATCAACGACTTTGATGCTTCCTATAACAATCTGGAATCCATCCCGAAAGAAATAGGCCACTGGACTAAAATAAGTAACCTGATTTTGAGCTTTAATAATTTAACTTCGTTACCAAAAGCACTGGGAAATCTTCGTAACCTTCAAGTGCTTAAGCTTGAATGTAACCTTTTGGAAGAATTACCCTGTACAATTTGTAAATTGGTTAATTTGGAAGAACTTAACCTGCAAAGTAATCATTTGACGAAATTACCTAGTGGGATCGGACAACTGAGAAAGCTGGCCACTTTAATTTTGTCTGACAACAAACTAGAGCAGTTACCTTCAGGTTAGTAGCTGAAATTATTGATACGTTTGAATTTGTGAATTTTTCGATAAAATATCCTCAAAATTCACGATGATTGTTTTGATGCTCTTTTGTTAAAGTATTCAAAAAACATACTAAGGATTTTCATCTGTATAGATAAGGTCGACAGCTGTCTCTATAGCCCATAGTGTAGCCGAGTCTCATTATTCTTTCTTGTGTACAAATACTCAGGAGAATTTTTGGCCGTATCGTAAGTACCTCATTGTGTGGGGTACTTACGAATATAATAAATACAATCTTAACAATTTTGAATCTAGTCGCTCTATTGCAATGTAAGACTGTAAAAATCTTGGCAGGTAATCTAGACTGTTCAAATCCGTCTTCCACTTTGTTAGTCAGAATTTCGGTCAAAGCAACTCTGATTGCTTTGATTGAGTTGCCAAACCATTACACTAATTATGGATATTTCAACCCAATATCACGACTTATGCGGCTCGGAATCTTTCAAGGGTAAACTCGTAGGAATAAGTTTTGCTCAGTTGAGAAAATCACTGTACCTGAATTTCTCACGCTTAGTATCTACTCGACTAATATTGAATTGTTAGGTCAGGTTGAATTTGTATCTTTTGCATCATTTTTATGTGAAAAGGGGGTTTTATTTCCCTCTGAATAAATAAATATATAATATTGATGTTCATTTGTTATAGGATCATCAACATAAATTTTCAATATATTTTGCTAGTCAAAAAGGTTCAATAGAAAAGAGCATTACTATTTACTAATAACCAACAGATACATTATACTGCATGATAGAGAGGAAATAAATTTATTTTTTCACAAATACCGAGCATATTGAACATATTTTATCACATAAAAGACTGGACACGGATCTCATTGTCATAAAGTTGTTAATGACTATACAGTTTCCCTCAAAATAGTTGAGATTTGTACTTTTTTTGTGAAGAGGATTAGAACAGATGCTTTTTGTAGAACCAATTCTTCATAAGATCACTATTCTAGTGGGGAATTGATTTATCCTCATTATCTTTCAATCAACCAGTTTTATGATGTTATATAATTTCTAAAAGAATTTGAAAATTGTCTTGAAATAAATAAATGAAAATAGCAAGTATGTTTTTCAGAAATCGGGAGTTGCTGCGAATTATCGATCCTAAATGTCCACAATAACCAACTAGAAAAACTTCCTGATGAACTGGGTCATCTTCAAAACCTGACCACTCTAGGCCTGATAGGAAACAAACTTTCCTACCTTCCAATAACAGTATCGAAATTGCGCAATCTGAAAGCTCTTTGGCTGACACCAAACCAGACCCAACCGCTCATACATTTGCAGAATGAAGAGTTACCCGATGGTCAAGTGGTGTTGACATCAGTCGTCTTTCCTCAGGCTCCCTTGAGGGAGCCTTTACCTACGTGTACACCAATCACAAATCAGACCACTCACATCACTTTCAAGACTGATAGAACTGAACCAGAAGTTACCGACCCACAATTGGCGCTTAGTCGCACTCCTACACCGCATCACAAAGAGTTGAAGAGACTTAGGGAGATATTGCGCAATACGCACATTTCTGGAAAGCAGGTTAGTGGATATTCACCCTCTTTTTCAATACTGAAACTACTTACTTTTGTTTTCCAAAAATATTAATCGATGGTAAATCTGTCCCGACTGCACCAAGGGTAATCTTTCATTTCTTTAATCATAGTGATTTATTAAATCATTTTGGAACAAATTGCACATATAGTAAGTCCCAATGATATTAATAATGATTGCTGGACTTTTAATGTTGGAGTGTCTACATAACAGATTGGTACTGGATGGAGCTTGTAAAATTATCAGGAGTCCATCCATGGTCCGCAATCATGAGAGAACAGTAATTGGGGAATGCTTCTTTAAGATTGCTGCCCAAGAGGCCAATGAAATTGGTTTAGTTTTCAACACTGAACAAGCTTTACTCCTTTTTAGATAGATAGATAGATAGTTCTTTATTTCCAACAGGTATAAGTACACCCAATAACAGGAAATGTATAAACTGGATAAATATAAATATATAAAAAAATGTTTTAAATGTGATACAGATGTACATTCACATATGTGTGTTTGCAGGATTAGATACTACAAAAAAAAAGTTACATATTGTAAGTAAATGTCATAATACAATTTATTATAATAGATAATGGAGCTATATTAATGTCACATGAACCACATATCAGATTGAAATTATTGCAAATGATTGAAACAGCCGATCTTTTTAATATGTCTGTTCTAGCACGATCACAGTAAAATACCTTTGCGTGCCTACTATTTAGTCGAGGTACAGTAAACGGAATTTTTGCTAGCAGGAATTCACAGCTTATGTTATTATGTAGTAAATTATAAAGGAACGTTATTGTTAGAATGATACGTCTAGTATTCAGTGAGATGAAATTGCTTTCATTGAGAAGTATAGAATAATCAATGTTACGGTCTGGGTAAATACAACATTTTTTCAAATATAAATATTTTAAAAATTTCCTTCGAACACGTTCTATGGAACTTATTTGGGTTGCATGATGGGGATACCATATTAATACCCCATATTCTAATTTGCTGCGCACATAACAGTTGAATAGTATTGTCAGAGTTGCTGGATCTGCAAATTCCCTACCATTCCTTAAAATGAAGCCTAACATTTCATTAGCTGAAGACACGGTACTTTGAATATGAGGATTGAATGACATCTTTTGGTCAAATAATATGCCCAGGTCGCGCATTTGAGTCAAACGATTCAGGATTGTATTATTGCTATTGTATGGAAACATCAATGCATTTTTTTTCTTCGAGAAGGTAACAGTTGAACATTTGTTAATATTCAACTCAAGGTGGTTTGTAGCACACCATACATGTACTGTGTTGATATCATGCTGTAATGAAATGCAATCTTGAGTTGTGAAGATACTTTGATAAATTTTCAAGTCATCAGCATATAATAGAGTGGAGCACTGAAGCAGTGTGAGGTCATTAATGAACAGGGTGAATAGAAGAGGCCCAAGATTAGAACCCTGTGGTACTCCTGATGTTGGTGTTATTAAGAAAGAGCGATATTCTTGGAATTCGACATATTGCCGCCTATTGAAGAGATATGACTCACATAAAGACAATAGTTTATAAGAGAATCCTAAAAAACCAAGCTTTCGCAGTAAAATGTTCAGGTCAATTCTATCGAAGGCTTCTTGTATATCCATGTAAACAACATCTACTTGACCTCTCTGGTCCAAAATTTCGCAGACATATTGATTTATACAAGAGAGGTTTGTCACACAGGACTTTTTAATAACAAAACCGTGTTGTTATATGAGGATAAGCTGATGCATAGAGTCTTCTCCAACACCATTGAAGACCTCGGCTTATCAAAGGACCTGACCTTTGCATTTTCCAGGTCTAGTGGGCAACAGGATGCCATAATTGATACCTTAGTATGCTGTAGTCGCGTGATGTGTATATGGATTCCTGACACCAGGTGCAGTGCCTGCTGCGATTCAACTGCTGTCAGCATATCCAGCGTATGCCGTCTCAGCCTATATCCATCGACATAACAAGGCCCCGAGAGTGCTGTATTACGACTTTCACTACATTTACGGTATTGACGATACACCAGTGTTGCCTTTACTCCGGGGGATATTGATCCGTTGTGGAAAATTAGAAGTGCCGAATTTATTGGAACTATTCATTCCACACCTTCAGACTGATACAAGTTAATAAGCCTGATGTAATCCTCCTCGACTATCAGAGTAGACGATATTCGCCTGAATAAAATTTTACATTTCATTTTTTATTTTTGTCAGATCGTGGAAGGTGAGAATCCTCAGGAAGATTCATAAGAAAACTGATTTCCTCCACAATATATTACATTCCTTGAATATTTGAAATTATTTAAGTGGCTTTTAGATTGAGCTCATGATCCATTGTTACCCGAGATTCCTAATTTCAGTAGTATGTCAGGATATTCTCTATTCTCAAAGGATTCATTGATGAGATAAGACAGCAGTTCACAAAGACCTCGAGCACCTGCACTTGATATTTTACCATTTTTTCCATCACTTTCCGGTGCTGGTTTCTGAGCACCCCTTTTTAATATTGTTTTGACCTCGCTAGGTGTTATTGGTGTAAAAAAAAGAAAATCGTATTTTGATATATTACATTGAATCAGCACTTCAGTTGTATTATCATTAGTGAATTGTAAATATTTATTTTTATTAAGTTATAACTGTATGTATTAAGAATTTCCGTATATTGTTAAATAAATAATTTTAGTAAAGAAGGCACTCCCCACAACTCTACTAATAACAATTGGTTAATCTAGATGGAAATCATTAAATAATTTTTCAAATATTCCCAGGTCCTAAACGTGTCAGAGATAAAAGAAGCCAAAGTGACAAATATATCGGGAGACCTAAATGTGTCTCAGATCAGTTTGAACGGACACGAGGGCACCGAAATAATGGAAAGTCTCTCCGATATAGCCAGAGAAACTAGCAAAACCCCTCCAAAACAACCTCCGCCGTATCACATAGCTGCAGCCTACTCAAAAAATGCCCATCTTTTCACACATAATCAAAGTCCGATTAGTCCTCCTAGTCCCCACGATCAGCCAAAGCAGTTTAGCCAGCAACAACCAACTAATATTCATATGCCGACACCAAAGTTGCCCAATAATAGAAATTATGTTCCGGTGCTTCAAATTGCCGAGGACAAAGCCACTAAATCGACTTCGACCAGCACAGAGGAGGAATTTCATCGGGGGAAACATGTTAGGTGGCCTTTCGGAAGACACAAAGTTTATCAAGTGTTGGAAGTTGAGGTGCCTGAGAGCTTTTCGATTGATGATTTTCGAATAACCGCGCACAGTGATGTAAGTATTTCTTTTTCATTGTTTATTTCGATTATCATTAGGACTATCCTATTCTCAGTAGAAATGTTATTATTTGCTGGTAAATGTAATCATTTCTGAATATGACGTATTTGGAATAATTTTTAGCACATGATATAATGAATGTGTTGTTAAGTTGGTAGGACCTTTTTCAACATTGATAAAAACTTAAAAAAATATGTAGGTCATGTGAAAAATTTTTTATTATAATTTTTGATCCAGTCAAAACAGAGTAAGTTATAAAAAAAAATCATAATGATGAAGAGGGTCAAAAAATGCAAACCAAAAAAAAAACTATGCGAAAATCTACTTTATATTATAGAATACTAAATTTCCATTTTTTACACCAAACATTCTCAAAAGAACTGAAAAATATCATACACAGGTATGCTACACAACGTAATATATGAAAGAGTATTGATACAAAGTTCTACTTAGGAGACAAGCTTACAATCTATAGGCAGATCTCCAGAAGTTTCCGGCAAAGACACTAGTCTTCATCAGTACCTTTTGAATATTTTCGAAAGAAGATTCACTCAAAATGACCTTCATTGTTTAATAGGCCTACTTACAGATCACTGTTGGCTGAGTCATCATTTGAAGAGATTTGGATTGTTAGAAGACAGTGTGTGTGCCATCTCGTTTTGAAAGATAATGAATCTGCAGAGCATATACTTTGTGCCTGACCTGTTGTGGCCCAAATCAGGTTCTAAATGTTTAGTACAGTTTCACTCTCGCTATTCTCTAAATGAGCTTACCGGCTTCGTCAAAAAGCTGGACGTATCCTCGTGGATTTGGATTCACTGGACTTATCTACCTTCTGAATATATTTGAGAGACAACTTACTCATTCCTCATAAAAACTTTATATCACACTGTAACAGATTATTCTGCTCTTCCATAAAGACAGTTCTTCAAAATAATTCGTGCACTACTTACTCAGCCTTAGGTGTGATAGTGTGCTTCCGAGCACAGTTTATTTTTTGGAACAGCAGCCTTTCCTTGACTGAAGGTCACTATAAAATATTCCTTTACTTTCAAGTTATGAATCACTCATTAGGATGAATTTCAAAATAACACCTTGTATACATCAATAACTGGATTTTAAAATTCCATTATGATATTTCAACATTTCATAGCAGTTATTGTTTGTTATTGTTCATCAGCAATGTGATATATGATAATTGCTTTCCATTTCTTTTCGTCTTTGTTCTTTTCTATAGTCAAGGTACTTTATTAATCTTCAATGTTCTTTTTCAAGTTATTTTGATTCAAAATCTCCTCCAATCTGAAATTCTGTTCAATGAACAGGTACGGTATTTTTCATTCTCCATTTTGACAAATACCAGTGTCTACTTGCAGCAAATTTATCTCCTTAGGATATATTCAATTTACACTTTTTTGAGATTTCGATACGTAATCTGGGCCCATTACTTCTACTAGAACATAGAACTAGGAACTTAAACAGACAGGAGTAGGCAGTGTAATCAAAATGCTAATCTAACAAAATTGTCTGCAGATGATAAGTGCCTATTCCTGATAGTACCAGACTATATTTCAATTGAGATCTTTGAGTTTCGTTACAAATTAGCATTCGTATAGTTCATATTATTTGTCAATTTCTTATTATTTTTTATATTTTTTTAAATTTTTTATGTAACCCACCTGAATATTTCGGTAATACTTCAGTTTCAAGATAATGGAAGTCCAAACCTCTAAAATTTTGCCATCATGCTTACTAGTTTTTACTTTTTTGCCACAAACGTTTTGAAAATACAAAATTTCTTTCTGTAAAACATTCTGATACAGTATTCTACCTTTCTGTTTTTGATATGACCTCATAAGTTCTACTTTCTCAGCAATACATATTACAATACGTCAGTAAAAAATATATAAAATCGTTTTTATAAATCAAATTTGAATATAGTTTGAGAAATCAAACTCATCTAATGAGTGAAACATGTTTCATTTTTTCCAACAAGTTTTTGGGGATTACCATATATGTTACCATGTAATAATTTTCTTTCAGGGTATTTTTGTGAAGGATGTCGATCCGGAAAGTGAAATTTCTCAAAAATTGTTTGTTGGAGACAAAATATTAGCATTCGATGAAATTGACTATACCGTCGTAGAACCAATAATGGCCTACCAAGATGCCTGTCAGAGATTAGGGGGTTTGAAAGTAATTACCATCTCTAGGAACCAATGTATGTAAACTGTAATTCTGAATACTCTTTCATTGATAAAATAAATCATTAGGATTTGTTGGAAAAATATTGTGAAGGGCAAAATATTAGTGAATTACTGAATTGCACTTGAGCAAGTGAGAGGGATCAACTACTTTAAGATCATAATAAAAAAGATTGACCAAAGTCAAAATTATATAAAACGTATTATATACTGGTTTGGGAATTACTTACTGACGGTTGAGATCATTTTCTTTCAGCATTGTCAGCTCAAGTGGTCCTTGAATTAATTGATGTTTTGTCACTATTCACACTGTTTGCCATTTCGTCGATTGTGTCACTTTTGCATTAAACTTGTTAGAAATTACAGAAAGTTGGTCAAATCTAAGGACCAATAATGAAGGTCAGTCATATGAAATCAGAGCAAATTTTTGGCTGTTCCATATCAATTGAAACATATCTTGAATTAACCTAAGTAATGGACTTAAAAAAAAACTTTGAATTGAAGTAATGGACTTAAAAAACCTCAGAATTTATCTGAGCAAAAATAACCTGGGTCCTTCTTAAACCTAAGAAGATTTATTGGGAAATCGTGCTCCCGAAACCATTTACATTAAAGTAAAAATGTTTATATATGTATTTTAAGTGGAAACGAAATTATGTCAAGGAGTCCCAACCAGGTCTTCTTTTACTTAGATGTTTATTCAAATCTTTTCTTGACAAATCACTTTGACAAATTACCTGCTATAAACCTTGATCATTGTTGTATAAATTAAGTGTTACTTATTTGTTGTTGAAAATTTTTAGATATTCAACGATTTTAGTGCCTTATTTTTAGATTCTGTTCTGTCCATAATTTGTTAGGGTTTGCGTAGTAAAGAAACGAATTGGATAGTCTTTACTTACCTCAAAATGCATAACTTATTTTTAAAACAGGCTGTGAAGTTTTCTTAAGATATTAATAATTAGTTTTTTAGTTTAAAGTTATAATGAATGTTATTTATTTACTTCAGAGCTGCCAAAAATATACAACAGACTTTCATAGGGTATAAGTAGTTGCAGGCAGATTTTTTCATCCACTGGCCTGGCTGTGTAGTGGCTCGATGAGATATTTTATTGTATTCCAATACCTTGGATGCACCCCATGATGCGCTTGATGAAAGATATTTTGTTATATAATTTCTAAAAGAATTTGAA